TTTCCAATTGGCAAATAAATAGACAAATCTAAAACTGTTTATTTAATTCACATTTAAAACCATTTTTAAATGCAACAATTAACTGAAATTGTATGGACTACTTATTGTAGGAAACATATATGGTGCTTTTGCATCCTTTTTTGAAGCATGAAAGCTTCATTCACCTTTCATTGCAGTTCATGTAAAAGAGTGACCAGCACAGGGTGTCTCCTTTTCGGGTTCCAAAGAAGAAAATGAGTCATATGGGTGTGAAACATCATGAAGGTGAGTAAAAGATTGAAGAAATTTTAATTTCTGGGTGGACTATAAGCCAATAGTTCTCGACCAGTGGGCCGGGGTCCACTAGGTGGCATCGAAAAACTTAAATAAAAATATTTAAATGAACTTATATTAAAGGGGTCATATGATGTGGCTAAAAAGAACATTATTTTGTGTATTTGGTGTAATGAAATGTGTTTATGCGGTTTAAGGTTCAAAAAACATTATTTTCCATATGTCTGAAAAGCAAGGTGTGCTCTGACTGGCCAGCTATCCAGTGCGTTGTGATTGGCCGAATACCTCAAGAGTGTGATGGAAATGTTACGCCCCTGTGATGCCATGTCCCGGCCGGAGCAATGAGACAAAAACATTAAAACCCATTATAAACTAGGCATTTGTTGCATCCAGTGGGGACATAATTACAGATTATAATGACTTGTACTGTCTTTTTACGAGTTGCGTTGCATATTGCACCGCGTAAACATAAAACCATGTCTGTATTTGTGATCGGAGAAATGACAAACAACATGCGCTACTCTACACTGCTCAAAACTCTAGTTTGAATCGTCAGTGGCAAATTCTTTATATATAAAAAACGTACTTGCAGTCTGTGAGTCAGAACAACCGGCATTGTGGTCTACTCTACCAGGATCAGGAAACAGTCCTCCATAAAATGTGCTGCACACTATTTGGGTTGAAGTGTTCTGGAACAGTGTTGTAAATACAACTTAACCACTGATTTCTAGTCGTGTCCTCTTTTAGAAGGCTAAACAAAGTAGTTTCGCTTTCACAACGAAACACAGCGTCACACACGGCGGGCTAGAGTGAGCGGAGGCGGGCGGGCTTGAGAATGGCGCGGCAGGCGGGCTTGTGGCAACCACATATGACGACCCCGGGCTGGACCCCGGGCTCGTCCACGGTGAAAGCCGATCCGGCGATCCACAGCGCGAAGTTGATGTATTTCCTCAGCGACCATCACGGATCAGCTCCAGGCATGACGAAGCGGATATCGTCCCCTTTTGGAAGGCCAACCAAAGTAGTTTAGCTTTCACAACGAAACACAGCACCTTCATGACATGGCGGCGGCAGCAACAACAATACTACAGCGAAAATAAAATTTACGCCTTCTTTCTTTGCGTGTACATTTGGGCGGCCTTATGCAAATCTTCCCACATCGTGACGTAGACATGTTAGGGCGTGTTAGAACGAGCCGTTTTAGGTAGGCGTGGTTGACACTTAATTTTTATAAAGAATATCTCTTTGGATTTGAGACTTTAGTCTTTGCAACTTTACAGATCTTCTTTATGCACCAAGAGCTTGTAACACTCCAAAGAGAA